CCCCAAAACCCCAAAACCCCAAAACCCCAAAACCCCAAAACCCCAACTCTTAATAAATCAATTGATTATAAAACTTTTATGGCTAAATCTCTATAGCTTCTTCCTAGCCAGCTTGAGCTTTGGCTCTTGACCATATTTAGGAGATCCCTTTAGGTTAATTTGTTTAAAAAGTTGCCTCTTCTTGATCTCAATTGTGCTATTCTTCCGGAGATTTGTGGTTGAGGCAAAGCCAATCTTGACATTGTTCCTACCTTTTACTCGAGAGCTAGCTCCTGCTTTGGAGATAGCAAACTTGTTGAACAATTTCTGCCGGTTCTTTTCATCTTTTCCTAATCTACTCTTGGTTATTATACTAGGATTAAGCTTAGGCTCCTCTACAGAAGGAGTCATTGCCATTGCCCTTTGCTGTTCAAGGATCAGTTTAGAATCATTTTCTTTATTTGATTCATAACTCGTAGGATTTAGCGTAGTTGACTTCATTGATAAAATGGGCGTACCAGTTTCCTCCCTAGAGTTGTTCCTCAACATTGTATGGTTCTTAAAAGCCTTTGTGGAGATTCAACGACCCACTGCACTCATACTACAGGGGTAAGTATCCTGAGAAGGAGACATTTTGTCTAAAGAAGTTTCTTTGCTAAACACTTTTATTGAGTTCTTAGGCAGCTTATTCTTCAATCTCCTGTGTGATTTATTACATTTCTCTCTTGATGAAGAAATATTGGTCATATTGTCATCATTAAGAACAAGATGTGCAATTTTAGACTTCAATTCTGCATTATTACGAGACTCAGGCCTTTGATACATTTTCTCAGTCTTAGGGCATTCATCCTCGCTAGTATTTGTCCCAATTTTTGATGGTTCTGAAAAATATTTACTATCTTTAATTTCATTAGGAACTCGTATTTCTTTTGTAGTGATATCAAATGGAGCTCACATGATCTCTCTAGAAATAGCTGATTGAATCGAGCTCATTGACATATCCATAGTTCTGGGCGATAACTGATTTTGATTACTCCATTGGTCAGCTAGTTTCAGGAACCCATCGTGGAACGATGGGTCCTTTGCAGTACTATCGGTGCAATCCACGTTCTTAAAAAGATAGCCCAAGTATGTTGCGCTCATTCCTTCAACAAGTTTGGAAAGAATAGTCATCATATGGTCTGAAAATACTTTTAGCATGGCTTTGACCCTCCCTTGGGTGACATCATTGGCTCCAAAATTGCGAATATAACCCTGAATATCCTCTTTGACGTATGTGCGGAATCACAGATGGATCTGGTGGGCTAAACCTTGTGTGTGGTTATTAGAATCCAAGAGTTTGACAGAATCTTTGAATTGTTGAACTTTCTCAACCTCATTATTTCATTATAGAGTTGTAATCAAACTCGACACTGAGTTTGGCATTTGCTTTCTTTTCCCACCTGGCATGAGCGCCAGGACTTATTTTAAGTCTAGCAAATTTCGTGCTCTTTACATTAGATTTGAGGTTTCTGAAACTATTTTGAGCTGATTCTCTCTCTTGCGCATAATCATAAACCGACACTAAACGATTATTATAGGTTTGGGAACTTTTGCTTACTGTTGAATCGCTATTTTCAAAATTTTAAATTATTTCAATATTTTAAACATCACAAGGGGTTTTGGGGTTTTGGGGTTTTGGGGTTTTGGGG